TCAGGAGGACGTCCCAAGGCGCTGCACAGTTGGGTCATGACCCGAGCAGGGGGGAAATGGTCAGGGTGAGGGGAGGGAAGGGAGGGAGAGAGGAGGGGGGAAATGGTCAGGGTGAGGGAAGGGAGGGAGCGAGGAGGAGGAAGAGAGTCGAGAGGGGAGCTGAAGGCACGGTCAAAGAGAAAGGTTTTGAGACCGGCCTTGAAGGAGGAAAGGGAGGAAGCAAGGCGAAGGCACTGGGGGATGGAGTTCCAGAGCCTCGGGGCTGAGAGGCTGAAGGCCCGACCACCGATAGTAGGGCGGTTGGGGCGGGGGACGTGGAGCAGACCGGAGCCAGAGGAACGGAGGGTACGGGCAGGTAGGTAGGGGGATAGTAGGTTGGAGAGGTAGGAGGGAGCAAGGCCGTGAATGGCCTTGTAGGTGAGGATGAGGATCTTGAAATCAATCCTCTGGGGGATGGGGAGCCAGTGGAGGCGAGCGAGGGTGGGAGTGATGTGGTCCCGAAGCCTGGTGCGGGACAGTACACGAGCTGCAGAGTTCTGAATGACCTGCAGCTTGTGGAGGGAGGTGGCGGGAAGGCCGGCGAGGAGAGAGTTCCCATAGTCCAGCCTTGAGGTGACAAAGGCGTGAACCAGGGTTTCAGCAGCGTGAGGGGTGAGGTAGTGCCGTAATCTGGCGATATTCCGGAGGTGATGGAAGGCGGTGCCAGTTGTGGTGCGGATGTGAGGGAGAAAGGACAGCTCAGGGTCGAACAAAACGCCGAGGTTCCTGACTGGCTTTGAGAGGTGGAGAGTGCAGCCTTGGATGCTGATGGTGTCAGCGCCTGAGGTGCGGAGGCGCTGACGTGAGCCAATCAGGAGGGCCTCGGTTTTTCGCACGTTGAGCTGAAGAAAGTTGTCTCTCGTCCAGGACTCGATGTCGGACAGGCAGGCTGTCAGGACATCGGTGGTCGTGGAGTTGAGAGTAGAGGAGGAAAGGTAGAGTTGGGTGTCATCCGCATACATGTGGAAGTTAACCCCATGTTTGCGGATGATGTCACCGAGGGGGAGCATATAGAGGGTGAAGAGGAGGGGACCGAGGACAGAGCCCTGAGGGACACCACATGAGACAGTACGGGGGGTGGAGGAGAAGCCATTCGTTGAGACGAAGTGAAGACGGTGGGAGAGGTAAGAGCTAAACCATTCAAGGACAGTGCCTTGAAGGTTGAGGTGGGAGGACAAGCGGTGGAGTAGGATAGCGTGGTCGACCGTATCGAATGCTGCCGATAGGTCGAGGAGGACGAGGAGACAGAGGGAGCCCTGGTCACAGATGGTCAGGATATCATTGGTGACCTTGACCAGGGCAGTTTCTGTGCTATGAGCAGCACGGAAACCTGACTGAAGGGGTTCAAAAAGAGAATGGGTGGAGAGGAAAGAGCGCAGTTGGGAGGCGACAACTCTTTCCAAGACCTTGGAGAGAAAGGGGAGGTTGGAGATGGGCCGGTAGCTTGATAGCTGCGACGCATCAAGGGAGGGTTTTTTCAGGGTGGGCGTGATGATGGCAGTTTTTAATGGAATGGGGACAGAGCCAGAGGAGAGGGACAGGTTTATGATGTCAGTGATGTGTGGGGCAAGAAAATGGAGCTGGGAGATAAGGAGTGGAGTGGGGATGGGGTCAAGGGAGCAGGTGGTTGGTTTTAGGGATAGGATGAGTTCAGTGACAGAGGGTGGGGAAACGGGTACGAAGGTGTGTAGGGGAGGATGGGTAGGAGTCGGAGTGTGGGAGGGAAGGGGTGGGTGGTGGGTGGAAGTTGGAGGGGAAGTGACCGCGGAGCGGATTCCCTTGATCTTGGATTCAAGGAAATCCAGCATCTCCTCGCAGTGAAGGTTGGAGGAGATGACCTGCGCGGGGTGGCGGGGGGGACGGAGGAGTCGGGATGTGGTGGAAAACAGTAGCCTGGGGTTGTTCTTCGCCTCCAGGATTATCCTGGAGTAGAAGGACGACTTGGCCGAGGCTAGAGTGGAGCGGTAAATTTTGAGGAGGTCCAGCCAGATTTGTCGGTGGACCGTTAAGCCGGATTTGACAAAGGTGCGCTCAGCAGCCCGCACCTGGCATTTCAGTGAGCGGAGGTGGGTGGTGTACCAGGGGGAGGAGCGGGAGTAGGAGACAGTGCGGGAAGTGATGGGGGCAAGAGTATCGAGTGTGGAGGAGAGGATATTGTGGAGGAGGGAGAGAGGAGAAGAGGGGTCGGTGAGGGTTGAAGGCCAGAGGGAGAGGAGTTCAGAGGACTCCAAGGCATCGGTTAGGGATTGTGGGGGTAACTTCTTCCAAGGGCGGTAGAAGATGGTGGTGGGTCTGGTGGAGGTGGGGAGGGGGGTGGAGGTGGTGAAGGAGATGAAGTAGTGGTCGGAGATGGCCTTGTCGGTAATAGTGACATCCGAGACACTGAGGCCCCGGGTGATCACCAAATCGAGTGGGTGGCCGTGACTGTGAGTGGGGGAGTTTATGTGTAGGGAAAGGTTGAGTGAGGAGAGCAGGGAAGAGAAGTCTGTGGAGATGGAGCAGGAGGGGGTGAAGTGTAGGTTAAAGTCGCCCAGGATGATGAGGCGATCAGAGGAGAGGCAAAGAGATGTGAGGAGTGTTGAAATGTCAGAGATGAAGGTGGGAGAGGTTTTAGGGGGCCGGTAGAGGAGGAGGATTTTAAGGGAGAGGAATGAGGGGTGGGAGAGGGTGAGGTGCTCGAAGGAGGGGAAAGAGCCAGAGGAGTAGGGGGATAGGGCAAGTGGTGTCCTTGAGATAAGGGCAACACCACCGCCACGGCGGTTGGGGCGGGGGATGTGGTGGGAGGTGTAGCCGGGTGGCGTGGCCTCCGTGAGGGGGAAGGTGTCGCCTGGGGTGAGCCAGGTTTCTGTCAAGGCCATGATATCAACGTTCTCATCAAGGATGAGATCGTTGATGACCAGGGCCTTGTTGCAGAGGGAGCGGACATTTTGCAGTCCGATGTGGAGGGAGCGGTTGACAGAAGGGTGTGTGGGAGGGGAGGGGGGTCCAGGTTGTGAGGCAGGGGTGGGGGGAATGGGGATGAGGGAGGAGAGGTTGACTCCCCGGGTCTGTGTCCGGGGTGGCTGGCGAGTGTGGTGGGGAATGGGGCAGTCGGTGTGGCTGCTGCTGGACAGCCAACGCCGAGTGCCACGGTGAGCCCGGCGGAGGATTCCCAGACTGGAACAGAGGGAGGTTGTGGGAGGGTCAAGTGGGGATAGAAGACGAGAGGGACGGAGAGAGAGGAGGAGAGAGCGGGAGAGATGGAGAGGGGGGAGGGTTTGGGGGGAGAGAGGAGGGGAGCGGGAGGGAGGGGGTGAGGGGGCTCGGGTCAAAGCGGCAGCCATAGTGCGCACGCGGGGACCGGGAGCGAGCGGTCAGGTGGATGGCATTATCCCGCAGATTGGGGCATCGAACCCAACAGGACCATAGTGGGCTCTGATGTGAGCCTGGGGGGGGGGGGGGGCGCGGAGGTTTTTTTTTTTTTTTTTTTTTTTTTTTTGTGCGCGCGCACTCACCTGAAAACTAATCTATGACGTCGCAGTTCCCCGCTCCGTCCCCTCCCCTCGCTGCCTAGCTGCACTCGCTCCGGCGTCGAGTTTAAGTACCTGGGTCAGTAGGCCCAGGCTCCTCCCCGCGCTGTCCTGCTGCCGCTCCCCCACAAGTTTTCAAAATCATGAGGGGATTCGATAGGGTGAACAAGGAGAAACTATTTGCACTGGCGGGTGGGTCAGTAACCCGAGAACACCGATTTTAAAATAGTTGTTAAAAGAAACAGGAGAGGTGAGGAGAAATCTTTGCATGCAGAGAGTGTGAATTTTTTCACCCACCCTCTGGAACTCCATCCCACAGTCCCTCCGCCTCGCCCCCTCCTTTACCTCCTTCAAGAACCATCTCAAGACCCTCCTCTTCAATTGTGCCGTCAATCTCCCTGCTTCCCCTCCTGCCCTCCACCCTCCCCGATCCCAACTCCCAGTTCGAGTCCAAAACTCTGACTTAGTCCTCCCGATGTGAAAGATGCTATACAAATGTAATTTTGTTGTTGCTGTTGTTCAGGTCTGGAATGCATTGTCTTAAAAGGTGGTGGAAGCTGATTTGATAACAACAGAGAGCAGTAGATAATTGTTTGTGGAGGACATAGTTTGTAGGGAGAGAGCGGGTAGTGGAATTGATTTGGATAGCTCTTTTCAAAGAGCCGGGACAGACACAATGGGCCGAATGGCCTCCTTCTGTGCTGTATAATTCTATGATTCTGTGGTCTGCAGTCTGCAATACTTAGTGTCAAGTACCTATGACTGTTGAGTCTCTTTACAGACCTTCGCTTGGCCCATGTTGTTGTCATGTTGATTCTGTTCAATATGATGGTCGGGCCAAAGGTGGAATACTGTGCAGTTTCAGGTTCCTCATTGGAAAAATTTTAGGTTTGCTGGAGGCAATACAGCGAACAACAACAAATTACACTCATACAGCATTGTTCATGTCGGAAGGATGTCCCAAAGCAGTTAAGGACCTGAGTTGGGGGTTGCAATCGAGGAGTAGAGGATGGGGGTGGGGAGGGGAGTGTGGCCAAAGACAGGGTCAAAGTGTAGTGTGTTGTGCTGTGTCCTTCAAAGGCCTGCCAATGAGCTGGGCTGTGCTTTACTGCCTCTATTTACCTAATTAGTAACTAGGAACCCGGTTGTTAGTCGATTGTCGGATCACTTTCTGGGGTAATAATTCCTACAAAAAAAATGTAGTCACTCTACCATGACTGTTTGTGAGACACTGCAGTATGCACTTGGCTGCTGCATTTAGCCCATAAAATATAGTCACTACACTTTACAATCTATTCTGTGAAGGGCTTTGAGACGTCTCAATGACATAAGTTGCTATATCAAATGAAATTATTATTATTATAGATGAATTGACTGATTGGATGACAGTGTAGATTAATGAGATAGATGTCTGCTGGTGTGACCCGTCTGTATGTACTCTGCTCTCTGCAGGTACCCCCATCTGGCTCATGGTAATCCTGGTGTTCATCCTCCTGTTGTTGATTGTGGCCTTTTTGACGTTAATCTTCTTCCTGAAGAAAGGAGATCATATGAATGACAACACGTCAAATCATTCCACAGCCAGTGAGAATGATCCTAGTGTCAGGTAGCTGTAACACCCGCCTGCTTCTGACTCTGATATTTACACATACCTTTGGAGCCCTGTAGCTCAGTGGTTAGAGCTCTCGCCTCGCAAGCAAGAGACCCGGGTTCGATTCCCGGGCAGGACGAAACATTACACAAATTTCCTTACTCCATACACCTCTGTTTACCTAGCAGTAAATCGGATTATTTAATCCTTAACAAAAAATTTGGTCACTCAATCCACGTATGTGGGACACTGCTGTGTGCAGTTGTCTGTCGCAATTCGCTCACAAAATAGTCACAACACTTTACGGTATATTCTGTGAAGCGCTTTGAGATGTCTCGAAGACGTGATAAGGCGCCATATCAAATGCAAGGATTATTATTGTTATTTTCTTCCCCCTTTTAGTTCCTGCAGTTCCTTACACCATTTCCCATCCACTAGCATCTGCGATACCTCATCCACACATGTGAGTGACTGGGATTTGCAGCTGCGGAACCAGTGATTGGGTCCCAGTGAACGGCAGGCAGTGAGTCCTGGACTATGGAGACCATATGCGGAGGGTATGTCTGAATCGTTCAGTGGTGGGTGATTTCTAACTGCCAGGTGTGGGAACCACAGGGAGTAGTACCCCAGGTCACTGCTGGTGACAACTTTCCTGACTCATCGACAGGACCTGGAAGAGCAGACCAGTCACTGGGGGCAGGGAGTCATCCCACTCAGCTCCTGTTAACCCTGCAGCCAAAGCCCTAAGGAAGAGCGTGGTCCTAGCTGGACAAGCAGCGGGAAAGCCTGTCAGACACCAATATTAATGGCAAGCTATGTGGTTTCAGCTGCTTAAACACCCAACTGTTACCCCAATGCCTTGGCTCTTGCAAACTGTACCTAACACTTCCCAGAATTTGGTAAACAGGATGCATCCCTCCAGGGAGAGAGTGCATACTCCATTTCAACAATCCATCTCTGGGATTTCCATGTGTAGGTGGGATGCATGGAAATCTCAGCTCAGCTTGGTTTGGATAATATTAAGCATGGCGATGGATTTCCGCACGTGTCTGACAACTGGCTGACAAAAAAAACACAGACTTCCTCTGAGCCCCCCCCCCACACACACACACACACACACACAGACTTTGTGATCCCCCCCCACACACACACTTACACTGTGCCCCCTTCCACACACACAGACTTACTCTGAGCCCCGCATACAAACAAACTCTCTGAGCCTCCACACACACGCGCACAGATTTATTCTGTGCCGCCCTCCCACATAAACACACAGATGTAATCTGTGCTCCCCCAAAAACACACACAATTACTCAGTCACCCACCATATATACACACACAGACTTACTCTGTGACCTCCCCCATATGCAGACTCACTCTGTGCCCCCACCAAACACACACAGATTTACTCTGTGCCCCCCCACACGCACAGACTTAATCTGTCCCCTCACATACACACAAACTTACTTTGTGCCCCACACACACGCAGACTGGCTCTGCCCCACCTCCACACACTCACAGACTTACTCTGTACCCCCGCCACACATACACACTGATGTATTCTGTGCTGCCAACCCCCACACACATACTCACATACTTACTCTGTGTGCCCCCGTTATACACACACAGACTTATCAGGTCAGGGGTAGGAGGGCTTTGAACGGAGGATGAAGATTTTGAACTCTATCCTCTGGGGGATGGGGAGCCAGTGCAACCAGGCGAGGGTGTGGGTGATAGGGTCACCGAACCTGGTGCGGGAGAGGACACGAGCTGTGGAGTTCTGAACGATGGCACCATCAGTAGCTGGGGTGGGCAAAACATCAGTTTCCTGGTGTGCACACACTTAGCTCCAGCTCACAATTCCACCTACGCTCTCTCTGATTCAAGCCATTTCTATTCCATTTCACACACTTTGCCCTCACTACGTGACTCTATCTCACAAGATCACAAGATGGGATTGGATGAAGGCCCTTTGGCCCATCTAATCTTATGCCTCCACAGCACCCACCCTGCTGTCCTCCTAACTGCTTTATAAATGAGTCTCAAAAGCTTTGCTAAACAAGTTGTGGAGTCTGTAGCTTAGTGGTCTGTAGCTTGGTGGCTTTCTCGGTTCCGAGAGCACTCGCCTCGCAATCGAGAAGCCCTGGGTTTGATTCCCAGCAGGGCAAAACATTGGGCAAGTTTCCTTACTCCATATGCCTCTGTGTACCTAGCAGTAAGTAGAAACCCAGCTGTTAGTCGATTAAACATGGGCTCCTTGGTGCTGAACTGGCTTCAAGGTGACATGCCTGGAAAAGGAATGTCAGACTCGACTCAGCTCTCTGTGATAGTCTCTAGTCCGGTTCCTGAGCCAGCCTGGTCCATAGTATTCCAGAGCACTGCTGATGACAGCACAGCCCAGCCTGGCTCATTGGCAGGACCAGGAGGGCAGACCAATCACCGGGGGCAGGGAGTCCACCCACTCAGCTCCTGTTAGCCCTGCAAGCCAAAGCCCTAAGGGGTAGGGTGGTCCCAGCTGGACAAGCAGCGGGAAAGCTTGTCAGATAGCAGTGGCAAACTATGCGGTTTTAGCTGGTTAGACTCCAGCAGTTACTCCAACACACACTCTGGGGTCCCCAAGCCTTGGCTCTTGCCAACCTGCACCTAATACTGTCTGGAATGAGGTAAACAGGATGGTCCCTCCAGCGAGAGAATGCACATTGCATTCCAACAATCTATCTCTGGGATTTCCATGTGTGGGTGGGCACATGGAAATCTCAGTTTGGTTTGGTTAATCTTAAACACGGTGATGGGTTTCCGCATGTTTCAGACACCCGCTGACCCCCCCACAAAAAAATTAGTTGATTAGTAGATCGCTTTTTCGGGGATAATAATCCTTTTTAAAACAAAAAAATATTTGGTCATTCAATCCAAGACGTGATATCAAATGCAAGGAATATTATTATTACAAGAGGGAGAAGGGGTAAAGCATCGCGTGGAGAATAGGCAGCAGCACAGACTCGCTGGGCTACGTTTCTATGCTGTAATGTTTTATTTAATTGTAGGAGGGTGAGAGTTAACAGACTGTGCTGTTTCCAGCACTCTGAACTGTCCTACACCTGGCTCTGTGACCCTATCAACCCCATCTGCACCCACATTCACTGGCGAATCCCCCAGAGGACAAAGTTCAAAATCCACGTCCTCACCTTTTAAGTTTTCCACATCTTTGCTCCTCCCTACCTCTGTGACTGATTAAAACTTCACCAACCTATCTGCTCCCTCCACTTGGCAGGCACCGGCCTGCTCCATATCCCTGCCATGTCTGCTCCACTATCAGTGATCAGGCCTTCAACCTTTCTGGAACTCCATCCTGGGGCCGCTCCGCCTTGCTCGCTTCAAGAGCCATCTCAAGACTTCCCTTTTTGATCGTGACTTTGGTCATTTTCCCACCGCCACCCCGCTTGCCCTCCACCCCTCTCTCTGATCCCAACCCTCAGCTCAAGTGCAAAAAACCCTCATTGTCCAATGCCTTGGGACATTCTCCTGATGTGAAAGGCGCTGTGTAAATGTGAGTTGTTGTTGTTGCTCTTGATTGTCCCCATGGTTCTTTGTTTCTTGGATATGCCCAAGAGAAGAGTCATGTTCCTCCTATTACACGATCGTATTGTTTCCCCTTTTACACTATCGTATTGTTTCCCCTTTTACACTATAGACTTGTTCCCCTATTACACCTTAGTAATGTTACCCCTTCATAGAATTATGCAATACAAAAGGAGGCCATTCGGCCCATCGTGTCTGTGCCAGCTCTTCGAAAAGCGATATCCAATTCAATCCCACTCCCCTCGCTCTCCCCATAGCCCTGCAAACTTGTCCTCCCCACATTTCTATCCACTTCACTCTTAAAAGTTGTTATCGAATCGGCTTCCACTGCCATTTCACACACTCACCCTCAGGCTGTGGTTGTGAGTGTGTGTGTGTGACACACTCACCCTCAGGCTGTGGTTGTGTGTATGTGTGTGTGTGACACACTCACCCTCAGGCTGTGGTTGTGTGTATGTGTGTGTGTGTGACACACTCACCCTCAGGCTGTGGTTGTGAGTGTGTGTGTGTGACACACTCACCCTCAGGCTGTGGTTGTGAGTGTGTGTGTGTGTGACACACTCACCCTCAGGCTGTGGTTGTGAGTGTGTGTGTGTGACACACTCACCCTCAGGCTGTGGTTGTGAGTGAGTGTGTGTGTGTGTGACACACTCACCCTCAGGCTGTGGTTGTGAGTGAGTGTGTGACACACTCACCCTCAGGCTGTGGTTGTGAGTGTGTGTGTGTGTGTGTGTGTGACACACTCACCCTCAGGCTGTGGTTGTGAGTGTGTGTGTGTGTGTGACACACTCACCCTCAGGCTGTGGTTGTGAGTGTGTGTGTGTGTGACACACTCACCCTCAGGCTGTGGTTGTGAGTGTGTGTGTGACACACTCACCCTCAGGCTGTGGTTGTGAGTGTGTGTGTGTGTGATACACTCACCCTCAGGCTGTGGTTGTGAGTGTGTATGTGTGTGTGACACACTCACCCTCAGGCTGTGGTTGTGAGTGTGTGTGTGTGTGTGTGTGACAGACTCACCCTCAGGCTGTGGTTGTATGTGTGTGTGTGTGTGACACACTCACCCTCAGGCTGTGGTTGTGAGTGTGTGTGTGTGTGTGTGTGTGTGTGTGTGTGTGACACACCCACCTCAGGCTGTGGTTGTGAGCACCTCAGGCTGTGGTTGTGAGTGTGTGTGTGTGTGTGTGTGACACACTCACCCTCAGGCTGTGGTTGTGTGTGTGTGTGTGTGTGTGTTTGTGTGTGACACACTCACCCTCAGGCTGTGGTTGTGAGTGTGTGTGTGTGACACACTCACCCTCAGGCTGTGGTTGTGTGTATGTGTGTGTGACACACTCACCCTCAGGCTGTGGTTGTGTGTATGTGTGTGTGTGTGTGACACACTCACCCTCAGGCTGTGGTTGTGAGTGAGTGTGTGTGTGTGACACACTCACCCTCAGGCTGTGGTTGTGAGTGAGTGTGTGTGTGACACACTCACCCTCAGGCTGTGGTTGTGAGTGAGTGTGTGTGTGACACACTCACCCTCAGGCTGTGGTTGTGAGTGAGTGTGTGTGTGACACACTCACCCTCAGGCTGTGGTTGTGAGTGTGTGTGTGTCACACTCACCCTCAGGCTGTGGTTGTGTGTGTGTGTGTGTGTGACACACTCACCCTCAGGCTGTGGTTGTGAGTGTGTGTGTGTGTGACACACTCACCCTCAGGCTGTGGTTGTGAGTGAGTGTGTGTGTGACACACTCACCCTCAGGCTGTGGTTGTGAGTGTGTGTGTGTGTGTGTGACACACTCACCCTCAGGCTGTGGTTGTGAGTGTGTGTGTGTGTGACACACTCACCCTCAGGCTGTGGTTGTGAGTGTGTGTGTGTGACACACTCACCCTCAGGCTGTGGTTGTGAGTGTGTGTGTGTGACACACTCACCCTCAGGCTGTGGTTGTGAGTGTGTGTGTGTGTGACACACTCACCCTCAGGCTGTG